CTTCCAAGTAAAATTCAAAGCCAGATTGAAGGAATTTATGGTGTGGGTGGGTGGTAATAAAGTAGAGGCAGTGACATATGGGTAATGTTTAAAGAAATATTTGTAGTTTAAAAACATGGATAAAGGTAGATAGGGTGGTGAATTACAGGGAATAAGAATTGGAGGAATGTTTTTATGTTGATTTTAAGGGAAAACAGAGAACATTAGTAGACAAGCACATGGGAATAAGTTTGGGCAGGGTAATGAAGTCTGGAAGCTATTGGATCAGGGCAGAGTTGGGTGATTAAGCTTGAAGAACATAGAAGTGAAAGAAGGAGGGAAGTATAGATACAGAGAAACTTCAAGCTGAATATTCAGACTTTCCAAAATCCTGAAAAGTTTGTAATGGTTACTTTAAAGAACATGATGGGGAGTCAAAAACATGGAAACAAAAGGGAAAAAGAAAGGAAGCTCAAGAGAGTGAGAAGATAAGCCACAGACTGAGAGAAAATATTTACAAAAGACACATCTGATAAAGGACTGTTTCCAAAATATAAAAAGAACTCTTAAAACTTAACAATAAGAAAACAACTAGATTTAAAAAGGCGTCAAAGACTTTAACGGATACCTCACCAAAGAAAATATGCAGCTGTCAAGTATGAAACGTTCTTTCACATAATATATCATCAGAGAAATGCAAATTAAAACAACAATGAGGTATCACAACATACTGATTAGAATGGCCAAAATCCAGAACATTGACAGCACCAAATGCTGGTGATGATGTGGAACAGTGGAAACTCAGATTCATTGCTGATGGAAATGCAAAAGGTACAGCCACTTTGAAAGACAGTTTGATGGTTTCTTACAGAACTCAACATACTCTTAGTACATAATCCAGCGTTCACACTCCCTGGTATTTACCCAAAGAGGTTGAGAATTTATGTCTACACAAAAACTTGCACTTGGATAATTATAGCAGCTTTATTCATAATTGTCACAACTTGGAAGCAACCAAGATGCCCTTCAGTAGGTACAATAAATGTACAATAAACCATGGTACGTCTGGACAATGGAATATTTGTCAGTGTTAAAAAGAAATGGCCTATCAAGCCATGAAAAGACATGGAGGCAACTCAAATATCTATTTACTAAATGACAGAAGCCAATCTGAAAAGCCTACATACAGTTTCATTTCAATTATATGACATTCTGGAACGGGCAAAACTATGACAGTAAAAATATACTGGTTTCCAGGGGTGGGGGGCAGGGAAGGATAAGTAGGTGGAACACAGGATTTTTAGAAGCAGTGAAAATATTCTGTATGATATTGTAATGATGGATTTATGTCATTACACATTTGTTCAAACTCTTGTACAACCAAAAGTGAATACTAATGTGAATGATGGAGTTTGAGTGATTTTGATGTGTCAGTGAAGGCTTATCAATTATAAAAAAAAGTACCACTCTGGTAAGGGATGTTAATAATGGGAGAGGCTGTGCATGTATGGGGACAGGAGGGATATGGAAGATATCTGTACCTTCCTTTCAAATTTGCTGTGAACCTAAAACTGCTCTAAAAGTAGTTTTTAAATATAATGACAAAATAATAATAGTAGGCACTCAGTAAATGAATGTTCTTTAAAAAAAAAAAACTAGGAGGAAGGAAGGAAAAGAGAGAGGGAGAAGGGAGAGAGAAGAGAGGTGGGAGATGGAGGAAAGATAGAAGGCAAGAAGTCAGGAGATTGGGAGGGTGATGGTCCAGGTCAAAGGTAAGCAAACTTTTTCTGTAAAGAGCCAGGGAGTAAATATTGTAGAATTTGAGTGCCATGAACCCTGCTGCAATTATCTCACTCTGCTTTGTAGCACAAAAACAGTTTTAGACAATATATAAGCCAATGGGTTTTATTTTGTTCCAATAAAACTTTATTTACAAAACTAGGTGGCTGGTCAGATTTGACCTAAGGGACTAGTTTGCTGACACCTGATCCAGATGATGCCAGAATCTATTTGGTTAGAGATAAACGAAACTAGCGTGGCTTTATGACATTCCTAAATGTAAGAACAGGCATTATGTACACACACACACACACATATACATATGCATATGTATATATGTAAATATTTATATGTATGTGTGTATATATTTTCATACATATATACACATACCAGAAGTCATCCAAAATCTCTAACTTCTTGAACGTAAGATCAGCCTGTCACAGACCCAATTTTTCTGGGCCTTATGTTCTCTTGGTCATTTCTGGTTTTGATTTTTTGTTTCTACTGATATTTTCCTCTGTGTTTTGCACCCCTTTCTCTACCTCTGCCCCAGGGTTAGCCTAACTATGATTTACAACTTCTTGTCCTTATTTCCCCATACCTCGACTCCAAACCACAAATATAAAAATGTTGTGTGGAACACTACATTTCTTTTACTAAAGGTATGTGGATCTCCAAGAGTCATCACTTCATGAATTATGTAGCAAACAACTTCAAACTTTACACTGATTTTTAGACATTCACATTCTTACAAGGCTTTTCGGTTATCACGTCACCAGGAGATTCTCAGGTCAGTGGTTAACTGACCCACACAGAATTAGCTTTTAAACTGGTGTTTATTTTTCTGTCTGTGTCCTTTTCTTTTTCCCACTCCCAGGCAAAATAACTGAATGAATAGTGTGTCACAGAGAGAGATTCAGTTATCTTTTTCATTATTTTCATTTCTACCAACACCCTTCTTCTAGAAACTCACCTTTTTACCTAAGAGGCCTAATTTGTTCTAAGCAATATCAGTTTTGTTTTTTGGGTTTTTTTTTTTTTTCACTAGGGTCTGGATTGCTAGATCATCTCATTTATGTCACTCTGTGTGATTTCAACTCTGTATGGTTGGTATTGTCCTTTCCACTTAAAGAGATGACAGAAAGAATTGAGGAGGGTCAAGAGATACAGTCAAAATGAAGAGCAAAAGCAGGTTCTTTAGGAATGAGTGAGGTGATTTAGAATTCGGTGTCTTTGGGAGGTGGACTTGATAATATTCTAGGTTAAAATGAGAGATAATTAATAACACCTGATTCACCTTCTACCACCTTCCCATAAAAGTAATCAGAGAAACCCTTGAATAGAGGCAATGTTTTAACTACATGGGGAGATAGGAACAATAATTAAGGCTGTTCTAAATCCCAGGAGACATTTCTTTAGTAAAAATGCAGGTGATCCCTGAGATAGTATAGCCAAAGTGAATAACTAAAAAAAAATGTCTTTATGTAAGTTTGAACAAATCCCTATCTGCACTTTCATGTTGACTTCAGTATATGTAAAAAAGACAATGGTTGGATCACTATCATTTAAGCCGGCCAGTAGTAAATACTGAATCAGAATATAAGCCCATTGGAATGTAAACCACACGAGCAAAGATTTTTCTTACAGTGCTCTATTCCCTGACACTAAGTAGATCCTGCATCCTCATTTATTGAATTATTTAATTTAGAGCATCCTCAATTCTCAAACAATTGTGAGTTATTGGTATCTATTTTGTTAGAAGCGTCAGGAAGCATTCTAAGTTAGCTTCCAGTCTCAGAGTGAGTTTGGTTCCTGCATGATTTCCATGCATGTCCTGTATGCTGTTCCCTTGGCAATCATTATAGCAAGGGTTTTCCATATCATAGCAAGGATTTTCTTTGTTTTTAGTATGAATTGTTAAAGAGCTTTTCGATAGAGCATTGAAGTAAAACCAAGATGTCACTGGGGCCACTTGACCCTTCCCAGTCCTTTGACGATCCTTTGGCAGCGGTGAGGTTGGCATTTTACCCAATCACCTGTGGCTGTAATTGTTTCCTCTGAATTCTTCAATCTCAGTAAGCACTTGCAGCTGTTTTCACATCCCTCAAAATATGAAACAAAGTCTCTACTCCTTGATTTCCCCAAATACCATCCACCTAAAGACATGAAGTAGGACAGAACTTACTGAGTGGTTGTATGGCTAGAACACATGTAGTAACTTTTAAATTCAATTGAATACTAAACCTATCTAGTTTCAAAAGTTATTTGGACAATGCTCTTTTTTTCTCCTCCACATTTTCACTTTTTTCCTCCTGTTTGTATGACATCAACCTGGCTTGTTGCTGGACTTCCCAGTCACTGTAAACCCCCTCTATAACTCTTCTTCCTAGTTCACTTGTCCCTGTCTCCAACCTGCTTTACTCCTTCTTAAGCAGAGCAGTATGTCTTTCCTTTGTCTCAACATATCCTTGGGGCAACAAAGTTCAGTGTTTAAGTGTGTGAGCTCTGGACTGAGCCCTCATTGGTACTCACCCTCCTCTGCTTTTTATTAGCTATGTGGCCCTAGGAAATTTACTTAACTTTTCTGTGTCCTGATTTCATTTCTTACGTGTTTTTGCAGGAATACAATGAATTGATAAACATAAAGCACCTAGAAAAGTATAGTATGGTAGAAAGTTCTCATTAAATGTTAGTTATTAGTATTATCTTGCTTCAAGGGTTCTCATCCTAAAAGAAAAAAAAAGGAAGAAAAGAAAACATTTTAAAAAGTACCCTATCATTGTTTCACTAAACAGAGATAAATATACTCACCACAAGGAATTCAGTAGTCAACATTAAAGTAAAATTATTTCTTCCCGGCTAAAGAAAACAAATTGTAGTTCTTTAAAACTAGAAGCCATCATACCCTCATTTTGATCATTTGTTTTTCTCTCCAACTATGGAAAGTGATCATCCTACTTTTATTTTTTATGGTGAGTTCACTATTTTTTAGATATGCTATGGTATAATTGTGTAGCCTCACTTTTGTTGTAAAAATGTAGCTTCCAGGATTTTAGTGATAACTGAACAGAATAATGATTCCTTTTGCAATTCTTCTAACAATGATTAAGACACCAGACGATACCTCTTAGGCAGAAATTGTTTCATGCTTTTTCTCATTTAAAAAAATTGAATGATATGGGGTGTCACGTGCCAGCTGCCGGCTCCTTTGCCTGCAGTTCCGCTTCCCGCCCGCTCCAACTATGTTCTCCGCCCTCCCCCGCCCTGCCCGCGCCGCTCTCCGCCGCAGCTTCAGCACCTCGGCCCAGAACAATGCGAACGTAGCGGTGCTAGGGGCTTCGGGAGGAATCGGGCAGCCCTTTGCACTTCTTCTCCTCAAGAACAGTCCCTCGGTGAGCCGCCTGACCCTCTACGATACTGCTCATACGCCCGGAGTGGCCGCAGATCTGAGCCACATCGAGACCAGAGCAACGGTGAAAGGCTACCTCGGACCTGAGCTGCTGCCGCATTGCCTGAAAGGCTGCGATGTGGCGGTTATTCCAGCAGGAGTCCCGAGAAAACCAGGCATGACCTGGGATGACCTGTTCAACACCAATGCCTCCACTGTGGCCACCGTGTCTGCTGCCTGCGCCCAGCATGGCCCCGAGGCCGTCATCATTTCCAATCCGGTGAACTCCACCATCCCAATTGCAACGGAAGTTTTCAAGAAACACAGGTCTACAACCCCAATAAAATCTTCGGGGTGATGACCCTGGACACTGTCAGAGCCAACACTTTCATTGCGGAACTGAAGGGTTTGGATCCCACTCGAGTCAATGTTCCTGTCATTGGTGGCCATGCTGGGAAGACCATCATCCCCCTGATCTCGCAGTGCACTGCCCAGGTGGACCTTCCCCAGGACCAGCTAACAGCCATGGCTGGGCGGATCCAGGAGGCCGGCACCGAGGTGGTGAAGGCCAACACTGGAGCAGCCTCAGCCACCCTGTCCATGGCGTACGCTGGAACCCGGTTTGTCTTCTCCCTTGTGGATGCGATGAACGGAAAGGAAGGAGTTGTGGAGTCTTCCTTTGTTAAGTCCCCAGAAGCAGACTGTGCCTATTTCTCCACCCTGTCACTGAGCTGAAGGCCTCCATCAAGAAGGGAGAGGAGTTCGTGAAGAACATGAAATGAGAGGGGCAGCCAGCAAATAGTCCCTTTCCCTAACTTATGAAGGCATCATGTCCCTGGAAAGCCATCTCCTTCCCCCTGTGTTTGAGTTGCATCAACCACGAGTGTCGTATTAGTGTCGCCATCCCTTCCAAATCACCGGTCTGTCTGTGGGCGCATCAATAAAAGCAGGCTTTGATTTTCAAAAAAAAAAAAGAAAGAAAAAATTGAATGATACGGATTCTCAGAGGGGGAGATTCAATGAATGATAGATTTTTTTAGAGCTGGAATATAACTTCGGATAATACAGTATATCTCCCTACATTTTGACAATGAAGACTTTGTGCCCATTTAGTTAGATGACTTGAAGAGAGTCTTGTGTCTCAATGTCAGGATTGGAGCCAAGCAACTCTAAATACTACTATTCCTGCACTCTTCCATGTTGGTGTTAGCATAACTCTAGAATAAAATTCAACATCAGTAGTGTTTTGAATCAGCATAGAAAAAACAATTGTTTTCATACTTCTTTCAAGGTGAATGGTCAACAATAATGTGGATTCATCACTTATTTGAATGTTAAGTGAGTCACACCACATTGGTTTAAGCCCTAATCAAAGAAGATTATCTTTAAGGGTAAGATAGACATCTTTGTATCTCCTATATTCTCTTTTATTTTCTTATACTAGGATCTTACACAGCTCTCAGTCTACTTCTTGTTGAAAACAGTCTACTGTTGCATTCATTTATGTAATATATTCCAAAGTATTTTAATATATTAACTTCTTTTTAGTCAGCATATCAGACACAATCCCTGGTTTTGAAGACCTTAACCAGTCAACTGAAAATAATGGATGTGAAATAGACACAAGAGGGCAAATAATCAACAAGTACATCATCAGTGTCAACTGAACAGAAATTTCTGCTCTCAGAAATTTCATAAATTCGAATGTGTTCACGTCTCGCTAAGGTGAATAGAGTAGTTGGCTTGGCTGGCTTAATGATAGCTAACAGGTGAATATTTTGTTAAAGGTTTGAAGGAGGTGGTTAGGAGTTTGCGCTTCTGGATAAGACATGGTCTTGTAGATCATTCTAAGGGTGGAGAATAGCATAACCTCAATTTTGGCAAGCTGGGTTTTTGGTCGGGATATTGAAGTTCACATGAGGAGAAAGAATTATTGAATTTTAGGGGTGAACTGATATGGGGGCTGGAACTGTTTGTGGAGGAACTTAAAAACCATGCTCAGCAAAGTCTGCATTTAATTTTATGATTTAATATGCTTTGCTTTTTACTCTCTTTTAGCAAGACCTTCCTTCATAAACTGAAAATAACTCATGAATGAATTATAACCAGTATCTCTTCATGTTTTAGAAGCTCCATGAATTTATAATGAATTCTACTCTTTGTATTCTCTGTTTGAGTGATGAAAGGGTCAGAAGCACAATTTATAGGTTAAATGATATTAGAGAACTATGCATTGTATGACATATTTCATTAAAGCAGAGGCTATGAGCTGGGGCTTTAACAACTAGGAATTTCACACATCTGACCAGCAATCTTGTTCATAATTACTTTTATAATTGCTAAGAATAAGAAAAAAAAGAACTGGGTGCATGCATTTTCTTTAAATTTTTACACCTATAGTTTCTATTCAGATTGGATTTTAGGTGTAAGGAGATACTATGTCATATAAAATATAAAGTGTAATAATTACTTCTGTAATGCTTTAATGCTTATATAAAGTATAAGTTTGTCTATATGTGTTCTGAAAGTATACAGTATCATAGTAGCAATGTACTAAAATTAGAATTGAAATTCTTTTAAGGATTTATCTTTGTTAGGAGTAGAAAAGGTTAGTTACAAATGATTCTAAGAAAATTAAAAAGCAGATTGTATCCCTTGCTTCTCATTAAAAGGTTAATTGTTCCCATTTGAAAACTTGGCTTAAAATCTCCCTGCTCATAAAATATATAAGTATTTAAAGTAAAAATGTAATGTAATATGTAATGTGCAATTATAATATGATAAGGGAGGCATGTATATGGATATATCCAATGGATGATATTAGTAACTAACAGTAAGTCAGTTTTTAAGATTTTTATTTATATTTTTGAGAGAGAGAGAGAGAGCACAAGCAGGGGGAGCGGCAGGCAGAAGGAGAGGGAGAAGCAGGCTCCCCACTGAGCAGGGAGCCCCATGGGGGACTCGATCCCAGGACCCTGGGATTATGACCTGAGCCGAAGGCAGAGGCTCAACTGACTGAGCCACCCAGGTGCCCCATAACAATAAGTCAGTTTAAAAAAACAATCCAGACATCTTTCCATTTGCCCTTCTGGATCCATGAGATTTCATGGGAGCCTAGTTTAGTATACACAAAACTGTGATGGAAATAAAGAACAAGGCAAGACAATGTATAATTAAGTGATAAATGGCACTGCCTGAAGTGCTGTTAGAGTTTAGCAGAAGTACATATCGCCTTTAAGAAACATAGAGATTTTCCAGATTTTGTAACACTCATTTTATTCATTTTAATCAATGGCCAAAAGGAAGTTTCAGACCCAAGAATGATAAACTGCTATTTGAAGGGCCGTTCGAAGATAAGAAAACTGGTAAATTATCCACGTAATGATAGTTTAAAAAGCCAATAATTTATTTAAATATGTAATGACCTATTTGATGATGAACACTTTTTTCTGCTCTTTACTAAACAAGATAATGATATTTTAATTTCTTTATGGTAATACATAACCCTTAAAAAAATCATATTGAATAGCTTCCTTTTTTAGATACAGTTAAATGTACTAAGTCCTCAAAACAGTGGGTGGCTTGAGCCTTGAGATTTAAAGCAGGCCTACAAATCTGTAGAAATAACAACAACAAGATAGTGAAATGAGGGGGTTCACAATTGTTAATAATTTTTCAAATTTTATATAATTACTGGATGAAACAATCCCATTGATTTATACCTTTCCCTTTTCATTGGATACCATTCTATGAGAGATAAATTGTCACTATTTACATTTTTTACTGAATTCCTGTTTTCTGCTACCTCTCAACAAAATACATGCAGTGTGGCTGAAATACAATGGAAAGGTTTGATGCTTCTATACATAAGACCTGAATCCTCCCTGTATCACCTTCCTGCTGTGGTCATTACCAAGTGCTTTGCAGTCTTCAGTTCTTGTATTCCCATCCCTTTCCCTTCCTTCCATCCTCCTTCCCTCCCTCCCTTCATTCCTCCGTTCCTTCTATCTTTCCTTCATTTTCCTTTCAATCCATAGAGGGAAAGTGTCTAAAAATTACAACAATAGCAACAACAAGAAATCAAATCTTAAATACTTGCGCTCTAAATTGCTAAAAGTTGGGTATGAGTTTAAAAATATTTAAACTTAATTTTTGGCTTTTTATGCAAATATTTAAGTGTCCTATAGGTCCAAAGTGACTAAATACCTTCTGTGATTACCTTGGTATAAGCTAAATCAGTGTTATTTCTTCCTAACCTTTTCTTCCAAGCTTGAATAAAAGTCATAGAAAATGGTTTTATAGAAAGTATCTGATTAGCATAATAATTTCATAGGGTAGAAATATAATGATTGGATTATTTCAAATACATAACCTATTTCTAGAAAGTAGAGCCCACTTCCTGTTCTTGGATAAGATAATAATTTTCTAGTGGATGTGGCATGAATAGAAAAGGCAGTAGGCTGACAGAAATCCACAGTTATGATTTCTGCTGTTCAGTGCAAGGTCAATGGTTAATTAAGTCACCATCGGTGGAAATTTGATCATGGATGAGGTCTTCAACTTTGCCTGTATTACTGGGCTCTCACTAGATGACTCAGCTAAGTCATTATATTAACTTTTCTTCCTCCAGATAGGTACATGATTCACACTAGATTGACAGGGGATTTAGGTTGTGATGCTGTAATATTACTTTCTAGATACCATCACGCATTTCAGAAAACACACATTTGCCTGTGAACGAGGATTTAATTTTAAAGGTTTTGTTTGTCATGCAAATTAACTACATAATGTTATGATGGTTTAGATTGGCTAGGATCTTATGGGTGCCTTTATTCACTGACTCATTAAATAATTCATTCATCCATTTCCACAAATACTCATGGAGTATCTCCGGTGTGCTAAGTGCTGTGTTGGGTACTGGAGTTAAGAAGGAGATGATAAAGAACAGCATGAGCCTTGACATCACCTGAGTCCTTCAAGCTCCTCAGTTCACCGCAAGGTTAACTGAAGCCCAGAACACTTAACTGACTTTCTTAAAGTTCAGAGTTAGTTAATGGCCAAGCCAGGACTAGAATCTCAGTCTCTAAACTACCACCCTGCTTGGCACTTACCGTAACTATGAAGCTTTTTAATTTTTTTCCCTATAAATTCACATAAGCATGGTGTAGTATGATTGAGCATCATAGATTTGTATCAGCACTTAAATATATATAAGTTAAACAACAGATGCCAAAGAAAACTCAGGTGGATTTAGATGCGGGTAGTGTATATCACAGCCCAAGAAAAGTTTTTCCACTTTAGAGCAAGAATATCTTTGTCTAGATTTGTATCTTTACATTTGTGTACATTTATATCTTCATTCTGTGAATTTGTCCATAAATAACCCTCTCTCTTTCCTCTAAAGTGTACTTTATGCCACATTTTCTGTGTTATAAGCAGGTATGTGAGAAGGAAAACAAATGGCACTTTTACTCACATTACAACTATGGGATATTTGTTGTCCTCTGACAAAAGCTAAATACATATTCATGGAATCCTACAAATGTAGTGGAAATTCCATCTTTGCCTCTAGGCTGCCTTCAACTAGGTCACACGAGGCAGTTAGGGATATATATTGGTTCTTATATGTCTACTGGGAGAAATCCATTTCTGGAGGTTGGGCTGGGAAACAGTTTAGGTTGTGGCTTATGTATATTTATAGTGCTTACATTTACTCTCTTGCTGTCCCCCGGTGT